CGGTGAATTAGCCAAGTACTTCATTATCTTGCTTTTCTGGATATTTTGCTTTAGGTAGCGAATTCCCAAACAAGAGCAAATGCCTTCTGCCGCACTGCCTGTGAAGTTTGTTTTGGCCTTTCTGCATAACAGCATTGTGTTACTGCTGCAATATGGGAGGGCATCACTTTTCATGCATAGCCTGCAGTTGTTCACAGCCTCCATTTAGTCAGAACAGTTAGTTACCATGTAGCTGTTGATAGCAAAGCACGGTTTTAAAGCCTTCAGGCCTCAGGAGGACTGGGATTTCTGTTCGATTTAGGCCTACTGTTGGGAGAGAAGGGGAGGGGAATTGTGACTTTGCTGCTGCAAAGGGCAGTCGGTGCAATTACAGTGCCGGGCGAGCAGAGTTTTATATATGAACTCCATTTGTTAACAAGCTTCTTTGATGGGAGCTTTTAGTAAAGTGCTTTCATCGAGGCCTTTTAAACATAGCTGAACTACAAAAATGGATTTTGAACTAAAAAGAAAGGATCAAATAGCAATCAACTAGTCCAGGGGGCTTTGAACTTTTTGTTTGAATCCTTTCTGAGTGTAAACATACAGTCGGGGGAGCCCCTGAGAATTATTTAAGACGGTGCTATTGTCCTGTATCCTGTAACGATGCAACCCGATGGTTAGATGTGTGCAAGTCTAATTATTCAATTGTACTGTTTGGATTCTTTCAGACATTCGAACCTTCAGAATAAAACAGTTATTTGATGTGATGTTGTAATCTAATGCCGCATTCGTATTGCTTTTAATTAGAAATGGCTTAGAATGTTCTTGGCTCCAAGTGCTGTAGAATTCACCCCATTTACACCAAGACCGACCCAGGTTCCACAGCATAAACAGCAGCAAACGTGAGATTGGCAATATCATTGCTTACTCATCAGTTGTTCCCCTCTCCTCAGGCCAGTAATGTGACACCTGCATCATTGTCCTGTTAAAGAGGGCTCAGCCCATCCGCAGAGGGCAGTGTGCTGGGCAGCATGGCTGTATTACTAGGAACTTATGTGGTTCAAGTACTGGACCATCATGACTCCCAGACATTTCATTGCTGGCACCAGGAGACTCCGTTTACCACTTACCACCGCTTACCACCCCCCTCACTTTCTTCCCCCCAGCCCCTAGGAGAATAATAATAATCCGTGCATTTGATATAGTGCTTTTCACGTCTTCTAGATGTCTCAAAGCACTTCACAGAATATACTGTAAAGTGAATTGATTGTATAGTTGTGGGCGAAATTGTGGCAGCCGATTGCAAACAGCAGTGTACCACAAACAGTCGTGAGTTGAGTGACCAAATTATTATTATTTTATTTATTTAGTAAGGAAAGTTGCCCAAGGTTTTACCCGGCCGGGAATCAAAACTAGATCTCTCACTTGCGAGACAAGTGCTCTAACCACTGAGCTACAGGACTCTACAATGACTCTACAACAACAACAAAATTACATTTGTATAGCACCTTTCATATCAGAGGATGTCCCAAAACGCTAAACAGTCAGTGTTTCGGACCCGAGCTGGGGATCGGGATCGGGGAGGGTGAAGGACAGAGGGGGAAGGAGAGTGATCAAAAGCACGGTTGAAGAGGAAGGTCTTGAGATGGGTCTTGAAGGAGGCAAGGGAGGGGGTGAGCTGGATGGACTGCAGGATGGAGTTTGAGAGAGTGGGGGCAGAGAAGCTAAGGCCCGCCTGCTAATGGTGGGGCGGGCAAGCCGGGGCACATGAAGCCCACTGAGCAGAGGGAGCTAGCAGGTTGGTAGGGGGTTAGAAGGTCACAGAGTTAGTGGGGACTGAGGCCATGGAAGGCTTTGAAATTGAGGACAGGATCTTGAACTGTATCCTCTGTGTGATGGGAAGCCAGTGCAGTCAGGCGAGGATGGGGGTGATAAGGTGGAGCCTGGTGCGGGAGAGGACACGGGCTGCAGAGTTCAGATGATCTGCAGCCTATGGAGGGAGGGGTTGGGGAGATTGACAAGCAGGGAGTTTGCATAGTCAAGCCTGGATGTTATGAATGTGTGTATCAGGGTTTCGGCGGCCTGTGATGTGAGACAGTGGCAGAACTGGGCAATGTTGTGGAAATGGGGGAAGGCAGAGTGGGTTAAGGCATGGATGTGTGGTAGAAAGGATAGTTGAGGGTTAAACAAGATGCCAAGGTTCTGGACTGGCTTAGTAAGGTGAAGTGTGCATCCTTGGATGGTAATGCTGTCAGTGCCTGAGGTGTGGAGGCGCTGACGGGAGCCAATCAGGAGGGCCTTGGTCTTGTTGATTTTCAACTGAAGAAAGTTAGCTCTTACCCAAGACTTGATGTCTGACAGACATTCAGTCAGGAAAGCAATGGTCCTGGAGTCAAGAGTGGAGGCAGAGAGATACAGTTGGGTGTCATCTGCACATGTGGAAGTTGACCCCTTGTCTGCGGATGATGTCACCAAGAAGGAGCATATAGATATTGAAGAGGAGGGGATCAAGGACGGGAAGTTTGAGGTGAGAGCAGAGGCGGAGGATGAGGATAGAGTGGTCAACTGTATCGAAGGCAGTAGAGAAGTCAAGGAGGATGAGGAGGCAGAGAGAATCCTGGTTGCAGATGGACAGAATGTCATTTGTCACTTTGACCAGAGCCTCTAGTCATAGAACAGTGAAAATCAGACACAATCGCTACAAAGACAGCAATGTTTAAAGAGAAGGTCGAACACCACCTTCTCAGGGCATCAAAGGGTTGGGTAATAAATGATGGGTCTGCCCAAGCCACCCACACACCAAGAAGAGTAAAATAAACCCAATGAATTGGTGGTTAATATTTAAAACATGAGTGGATTCTAATATGGACAAGGCAGATTTCTTACTCGGGCCCGATACATGGCATTCCACTACATGTAAATGTCTCTAGGACTGTCATATTATTTGTGGGATAACTTTAATGGTTTCCCAGATAGAGAAACCAAGAATTACAAATGTCATTGAGTTGTACTGCAATACCAATTTAATTATCTATGTTAGCAAAATTTTTTTTTAAACCACTAAACCAATAAAGGCCACATTACAAGTAACATTTGTGTCAGGGATTTCTAACTAATTCGGTATGCATGAGTCACTTGGATGATTTTTCACAGGCGTGAAACAACACCTTGAACAGTCCACCAACTAGTCAAATTTCTTGCTAATTCTGTAAGCATATGAGGGTATCAATTGTGATATTCCTGAAAGCATTCTTTATTAAAGGAACAGCAACAGGTAGCTCCCATCTCTAGATAAGTGGTTTGTTCTTCTCAGGGGCCGAGCACTGTCTTTTTGTCACCCCGGGGTGAATGATTTTGATTTATTAATAATAATCCTTTCATTTGATACAGGGCCTTCAACTTTCAGAAAATATCTCAAAGCAATTCACAGGCTATAATGTAAAGTGTAGTCACTGTGTATTTTGTAGGTGGAACATAGCAGCTAATTTAGGCACAGTAATTTCCTGCAAACAGCCATGATGTGAATGGCTAATTCTATTTGCTGGATTGTTGCCAGGACAATGGGAGAAACTTGCTTCTCTCTTCTCACTTGAACACGCAAACAGGACCTTGATTTAATGTCTCATCCAAAGTCCCGACTTGATGCTGCAGCCCACAAGCTTTAGACACAGAGGCGAGAGTGCTACCAATTGAGCTAGGCTGACACACACTGAACCAGGCTGATACACACTGAGTCAGGCTAAGGCAGGTCGACACAAACTGAGCCAAGCCAATGTACAATGATACATTTTAGGCTCTGGAGTGTTTAAATTACTTGTACTGGTGTTGATCTGCCTAGGAAGGCTAAAATTGATACTCCCCTATACCAAAAAATGAACTTTTGGAGACTTCAGGCTTGGCCCAATCTAGAAAATCAAATTTATGGTCTAGGTCCAGAGCACATGAATTGCACTGTGGAAAAACACAATTGAACCCAAATAACCTGGAGACCGAAGTAAACCCTAAATTTCCAAAATACAGTTCCTTATCTAGAAGCCACAAAATAGCTAAGAGGCACAAACCATGTATGGTGAGGTGTCCATCACCTGCTATCTGAGCACCTTGGATCAGCCTCTCAACATGAAGGGCGCTACATAAATGTAATGCATTGTATTGTTTTTTGTTTACGTTATTTACGTTAAGGAACATTTTAAGAAACACCACAAATTCACTCCATAGATCTTGGTAGAATAGTAACTTATCTTAAACACAGGGTCCCACTTTGGGACTTCAACTTGTTTTCTTTTGCCCAAAAAGTGTACAGTCAATTCACTTTACAGTCACATTCTGTAAACCGTTTTGAGATGCATCAACGATATAAGGCGCTATATCAAATGCAAGGATTATTATTATTGACTTAGTCTAGGTTAAGACTGCAGATCTGATATAAAGGTATCTTTCTTAGAATTGCTTTGCGTCGGTTCTCATTCCTTGGTATACTTGCAAATTTTAGTAATGCTTAAGTACTAAGTGGCCTCTGCTCTTTCCTTACCCTGTCAATTTAGGTGTCTGCTCAAAGGTGTCTCAAACCAAGTTAGAATTAGTCACTCACTAATATTCCCAGATGCCCACTAACTGGAAATGCCCACGAACCGGAAAGTCAAATCGGAGTCTGTTCGCCCTGCCAGAATTCCAATGTCGACAGCTACTTTCTAAGTAATTTACTCCTTTTCTTGTTTTAGAATATTACAGAGACTCGAGGATACATTTGGTAGAAAACAACAGCTCTTTATTAAGACCCAGCAACCCTAGGCTACTTTGCATATAAGAAATACAACAACTTAAGATATACAACAATGGGATCAAATATAACTAATACACACAACGATATCAACTAGCAACACAATACTACATTAGTATAAAGAAATTAAACCAACCTGACTTGTACAGTAATCCTGGAACGTCAGTACGTACCAGATGACGACCATTAGACCGTGAGGCACACCGAGCATTGCTTTTTATAGGCGCATGGCTCCACTCACCGTATGATGCGAATACGAGGAATATCCCGCGCGAGTATCCTTGCAAATTTCCGGACTGTTTGCTAACTGCCTGTCAATCAAGCAACCTTGAGCCCAGATATCGTTGCAACTTGGACACCTCATGTATGCTGTTTGCTACCTCTTTTACAAATTGCAACTAAATCTCTTGCAAGCTTTTTCATAACCAGAATCTAAATAAAGGGACAGGCCTCCCCATTTCCCTTAAATAATATTATATAGATACATATATATTATTTACGTATTACTATTTCATATACATATTTCAGTGCTTTGGGACCTCTTCTCGACGTGAAAGGCACTCTATAAATGTAACTTTGTTGTTGTTGTTACTAAGGATTGCAAAAACAGAGTAACCTTGACATCTTATTAAACCAACATCCTCTTTACCTGCATCTGTCTACAAAACCAATAATCATAATCCTAGGATTATACAGCAACTTTAATGTCAAAACATTTCAAAGCGCTTCACAAGCAAATATTGTGGTGATTGCGTCTATTGCAGGCAGCCAATTCTGCATGGCAAAGTGAACAATCAATTTTATCTGAAGGATTGGTTTCTTAAGACACCTGGAGAAACTCCCTTCTGAGTTCAAATAGTATCACAGGATCTTTAAAATCTACCTGGACAGACAGAAAGCAAATCGTTATATATTACTACACAGTACTTGGAAATGTGAAAAGGTGCTGTAAAAATAGAAATTCTTTCTTAGTGCCAGCCTACAAGTGTTAATTTGCATATGTCTCAATTCCTTTTGAATTTTCACATCCTGTAAAATCTGGTGCATGAGTCACATCTGAATCCACGTTTCTGGGATTTGCTTATCTGTGATGTGACTCATAGTTTTTTCAGCAAGCAAAGATCAGGGGCCCAAAATTGTTCCCAGCAAATCAACCTTGCTTAACTTTAAGATGGTATCTGCTCACTCACTTAAAAAACGCATTGCCCTTCAATCTGAGTAATCTCTGGGCAAAATCATTTTCCAAAGGTGGAGATTGGTGGGGTTCAGCCCCAAACATGTCATTAAGAATAGGTTTTAAGGACATGTATAAACCATATTTCAGTCCATTCCTTTAGTTAAAGAGCACTGATCCTTAATGAATTGAATGTGTTGTTTGCTTCCTGTGATACATAATGGTTATAATTCCTACCTATGCTCGTATTGCAGGTATGTTATGAAATGTCTATTTTGACTCCTAAATGAAGATTGCAGAGCTGTACGAATACCGTCATTATTTGAGCTCCTCTGTCACTGGGAATCAGAGAGCAGGCCTTCTCCTCTCCCAACTCTATCAGCCTTCAATTCACTTTACAGTATATTCTGTGAAGCACTTTCTGTGAAGACGTGATAAAGCGCTATAACAAATGCAAGGATAATTATTATTATGTCATATATCTGTATCAATCTTCTTGAGCTCCTCTCCATCTCTGACAAGAGTTTGGAGACATTTTCCTATGTGAAAGTTGCTACATAGCATAAGTTATATTCGCCCACAAAATATAGTCAATTCACTTTACAGTGTGTTCTGTGAAGCGCTTTGATAAGCCTCGAAGACATGATAAGGCGTTATATCAAATGCAAGGATTATTACTATATATTGTTATATATAAGTGTAAATTGTCATTGTTGTTGTACGAGAATACAAGTGTCAAATGTGTATCCTTAGACTCCCAAGTGAGACAACACATCAAATTCTGACACATCAAATCACCCTAAATAATAGCCATTTGTACTTTGCTCTCAGAACAAAAGCTGTTTAACAAGAGTTTGTCATTGATATCAGGGTCTAATTTACAGGTTGTGCAAAACCATGTGCAAACACATGCGCACAGAAGGAATTGCAGGTACAGTTAATAGTGTAATTAACAACCAATGTAAAGGGTTATAAGTAATTGTCTCAAAATATAATGAATCATTCATTTCACATTTGTGGCTCATTGCTGTACACAAATTGGCTGTCGCATTTGCCTACAAAATACAGCCACTAAACGTTACAGTATATCCTGTGAAGAGCTTTGCAATGTCCTCCCGATGTGAAAATATGATGAAAATATAAAAGTTCTCCATTCTCAGAAACTGACATCCATCCCTCACTTTGGTGAGCATAAAATTCCTCTCTTTCTCCTTCTCCTCTAAAAAAATGAATAAGGAATGTTTTATAGTCATCTTGCTAAATTAGTTAATCAGCTGTTGCATTCGCCTACAAATTCACTACACTTTACAGTATATCCTGTGAAACAACAACAATAGCAAAATTACATTTATAGAGCGCCTTTCACATCGGGAGGACGTCCCAACACTTTGAGACATCTTGATAATATGATAAGGCCGTATATCAAATGAAAAGATTATTGCTATAAGCTTCTAAACCTCTCAGATGGTAACTAGGCCACATTTAACCTCACTTCATGAGGTAGTAGTGAAATGCAGATTCAAAACGTTTCTTTGGTGGATTCCTTTTAACAAAATTTAAAAGATAGATGTATAGGTGGGGAGAAAAATATTAAGGGCATGCTGAGAAGGTAGGGAAGTGGGATTGGGGAGATTATGGTACGTAGCCCATGGAATGATTTGTGGGATAGTGGATTCAATGGCCGAATGGCCTTCCTCTGATTCTAGTTTCCTATGTTCCTAAAATAAATCTGCATTATTATTCATGGTGTCTTAGAAATCAGGTCAAGAAAATCATTCCTAAGCCCAAACCTGGCCATTAACATCTACACTGTAAACGTTAAGCTCTTTATTGCAGTGAATTAGCAGTAAATCTTTCAGTGAGCAAAAAAAACACTTCAAAGATTGATGTATGAAACCTTGTATTTATCCCCCATGTGAGTGAGACTAATTAAATAACACTCCATTTACTGCAAACGTTTTTAGAGATTTAGCTTTCTAATGAAAATATACCAACTAAAGTATCACAGACTAGATTTTACACTCCCTTTATGCTATTGAACAAACAATCCTTATGTACCTTATCTTCCCACTGGCATGATTTTTTTTATAAAATCACCTTTAAGAATTATTTTATAGGATTGTTACAGCTTATCACCCGTGGCACACAGAAGATGCTGAGTCAGGAATCACCACCAAGGTTATTTTATATTTAGCAGCAGAGATTAAATTGTATGGATCTCCCATGCATGCAAAAAGTAAAAGTTTAATACAAAGACTATCATCGTGCAAAGATGCTTTTTTGTTTCCCTGCTACACACAAAGATAGAAAAGATAATTATCCCTGAAGTGTCAAAGGCTGGAATTAATTCATGTCAAGACTGGCATAAGTTTTTGGAAATGTTTTACAATAGTTTTTCAACTACTGCACAAAAATTGTTTTGTATGCAAAAGACAATTACTGTTTTTGGTTGGCAGATTGGTGGAGACTGAAATCCTATTATATCTCAACTGGGTCATTGGGTATAATATGGTCAGTGAGTGTTGTCGTTGGGTGTGGGTGGCGGGCGCGGGTGCGGTCAGTGGGTGCAGTCAGGGGAATGCGGGTGGTGGCTATGGGCGGAGGGTAGAGTCAGTGAGTATGGGCACTGGGTGTGGTCAGTGGGCTGGGGTGATCAGACAGTATGATTGAGTGATAGCTGCTCCCACTTTCCTCCCAGGAATAACCCAGCTGAGACTGACAAAGCTCACCAGCTAGAGGAATCGCCAATCTCAACTTCAGCCACAATTTCTGACTGGGAATCCAGTGCTGTAGCTTTGCAAATATAGAAATTTAGCTGCCTCCTCACCCTTTTAATGCAGAATCTTTTTTTTCCATAGAGAGAATCCCAATAGATTCGGGTGATGGATATTTTCCTTTTTTTCCCCCTAGTATTGAAGATTATAATTCTACTGCAGCTTGCAATGGCAACAAACAGACATTACGCAATTTGTAAATAGATCAGCACTCAAAGGGGTTTGTGATAGACGTACCTTTTAGTAGGCTAAAGCAAGTGTTAAATCATGCTTCTGGGCTGACAAAATATTAGCTATTCGGATTCTAAGGAAAGCTGTGGCTCGGGTCCTCTGTAGACAGCTTCTCCTGAGGTCACCACTTCTACATAAATGCAGCTGTTGGCTGTTTAATATAAGGAGTGAACACAGTAAGCTTCAGAAAGCCTGCTCCCTTGGCATTTTTTTTCCCCAGCAAGGTGAGGTTATCGTCCTGCCATCTGAGAAGCAGACATGACTTGGATTGCTGATGAGCTGCAATGCAACGGGCCTTTGTGAAGCACTTATTAGAACAATCTGTCGTTCTGCCAGGGCTTCAATGCAGGTGTGGGCTCCCAGTAACACCTGCATACACAACGTCCAGAATGCAACCCCGCTCCCCCCCTCCCCCAGTGCAATCTATCTTTCCAAGTGTTATTTATCACTTTCTTTTTTTAATAGGGATTTATTGCACCAAATAACAAAAAAGTTTTCAACCTAAAAATATTTCTCTTAATATGTTCATGAAGCTGCTGAGCGCTGATGGTGCTCTCGTCCCTGGGTAAGAATGCCTTTCTGAATAATGGAAGCTCATTATTTCACCACAGAATGCTTGTTAATTCAAATGATGATATTAAAACTATAGTAGCCTTTAGCAGTGGGGTGATTTCTAGCATACTTTATCATGTATCAATATATACTCTGTTTGTCAAAACTGCCCAGGGCTGAAACTGACATTCTCTGTGGAGGAGTCTAGTGCTTCAAGAGCCATTGAATACACTAAGGTGACAACTTGCAGAGTGCGTGCCTTTAGGAAATGAGGATGAAACTGAAAGAGTCTTTTTTTTTAATTATTGAAGATTTTTTTCCCCAAAAATCATCCGCAGCATTGTTTTCATTTGTTTATAACATGTGCACTCACTTTGGCGTTTAGTTGTACAGTATTTTTTGCTTTCTTTCCCCTCTTCCTCCTGTCCTGTGCTATTTCTGATATTGTTGTGGTGGCACTGTTGATGAATTATTTAGCTGTTGCCCTTCCAACACTTCACCTCGTAAAGCACAAGTGGACACAGTCCGAAAATTTCAAGGCAGCA